GGGACGATTTATGCGATTCGCCGGCAGCGGACCAAAAAGGAAATCTTAAGCACTTTTTCAGCTGATTTCGGACCGACTCCTTGCACTTTTTGGCTGACTCGGGTGCACTTTGCGATTTGTCAGGCAGAGGAGAGAGATGTCAGTGCAAGTTGGCTGCAAAAGTTGCTTGCTTAGAATTTATCTACTGTCAGCTGTCCGACCGCCCCTGTCCAGGACATTAAAAAAGTTATGACAGTGTCCTTGTTGACTGCGTTACAGTTTCCTCCGTCTTTCTTTCTATTTTTTTGTTCAGTTTTGCCACTTGGCTTTGTTTGGCGGCGAATTCTTGGCCAGTTGTCCTGCAGCTTGTTGGTTGTTTATTTGTTTACGGCCAGCCAGGAGCAACTTTTGATGTCCTGCCGGAGTAGGGATAGGGATTGTGGGACCTGGACATTGGACCTTAGCGCGGGCGTCTGGCTCTTAATGCCAGAAGTTTTATGCATCCACGGCCGGCATTCACTTGAGATTTATGGGTAGAAGCCCGTTCCATTTGCCATAAACATTTTATATGGAAAGCCCTCAGAGCAGCGACGCCCTCGAAGCTCATTAGACCGAGATGAGTCTGGGATTGGGACAGGCGGGGGGATCCTGGCCAGAACCAGTTGCAGAACGATGTGACATGATTGCGGACAGATTGCAATATAAACCCGACGACTGCACCAGCGGCTGGCACATAAAACACAGGTCCACACAAGTTGTCAACCAGTTGGCAGCTGCACGGAAACATTTGCTTCCTTAAACAGTCGCTCCACGGCCAAGACCACGACCAAGTCCAAGACCAAGATCCAAGACCCTGGCCAATGGCTTAAATTATGGTCAATGGAATTTTTATAGATTTTCCAAAGACCAGGAGAGGCTGAGGTGGAAACTGAAGCTGCAGCTGAATCTGCCGACCGCACAAAAAGTGTGCAACAAAATTAAATGCATTTCATAATTTCTGCGGCGAGCAGGCGATGTCTGGGTCTGGTTTGGGGTCTTCGGTCCAAGTCTGAGCCCCAAGATCAAATGCAGAGAGAAAAATAATTAATATATATCGAAACTTATCAAGTTTTCACTCCATCTAAGGCTTTTATTATAACTTTTCCCCTTTATAATTTGTTTGCTGCACATATTTTCCATTACCTTTCTAAGTTTTGCCAGATTACAACTATTAAGATAGCATTTTCTTCAAGTGCACATCTAGCAACTCCTGGTCCACGTTCAAGACCAAGCTGGGGTCCGCGCTTTTTGGCTGCGGCAAGTGCAACATTGTCTGTCTGTTAACTTATTGACACCCATATTTGGGATTGAATCATTAAAGCCAGTTTAGCTGGCCGTATGTATCTGCCCCATTACCGCGACTTTAACCCTCCTCCTGCGATCTCTGCGGAAAATCCCCTGGCTAGCTGGCTTGGCCTTTGTTTATTTGGCTATTGTCTTGGCCGTTTTGGACAAATTTTATTGGTTTACGCACGCGCAGTGACGTTGACAATGTGACCTTGTCAGCATTAGTGACAAGCGGACCGGGCTGTTATCATATTTTCTAAAGCGGAATTGGTCTGGTCCGTTTTGGCCAAATGGGATGGGAAAGCCAACGAATAGTGCCTAGTGCCTGTAGTATGAGGTCATCCCATCTACTTTATTTCTGCCAAGTTTGAAAGTTGCCTAGATCGGAAAATGGTTATTGATATTGTCTTAACTTCTTATGGGGGAAAGTTTTGGTTATTTGGGGGGTAATTAGGCAGATAATGGGTTTGTACTTCTTTTAAATAGAGCTTTATTAATGGGAAATCAATAATAAATAAACTTGAAATAAAAAGAAATACTTTACTTTAAGAATAAACTAATACCTGTTCTCACACAAAAACAATTCCCTTTCAAAATGGTGCCACTGTCAATGTAATAACCCTTTAATTGCAACCATTAAACATGGGAAAAACTCAAGTTTACGACTCAATCATTCATTCGCTTGCATATTAATTGCACTTGGCGCTCTGCAGTGCCGCCGCCCACCTGGCTTTATGTACATATATGGTATGTAGCTATCATAACAATCTAATGAGGCACTTAATTCGCTGCTGCCACACTCGAAATCGAAATCTCGCACGGCCTGACAGTCACACCTATCTAATAACTTCATTACCCAATCAATCAAAGTGGCAACACGGCCACTGGCGGCATTATAATGCGACACTTGGTCGATTCAGCTGCACAGTGCCAAAAAATGCGGGGAAATGACAGACAATACATAAAATAAATATAAAATATTTGAAATCTAAGAGAACAAATATCATTGCATACTTTTTGGATAAGTGATAATTTCATTGTTTTCACAATCTTCATTTAAAATTTAATACACAACGAAATCTGCTACTAAAACTTATTAATATTTATATTTTCCCTAAAAGAAAATGCTTAGGTTTTTAACTTTATTTCCTATAACATATACCCTTGATTACCCATTACGGAAAATAGGCCTAGAACGTTTTCCGTAAAGCTGTCCGAATGCAAATGCCGAAAGCTTGCAGCTTAAACCCGAGAAAAGCTCCCCGAAGCCGCTCGGCCTTTCACACACAGCCGAGCATGTGTGGAAAAGCTCCCATGTGTGTGTCGAAAGAGAGAGAGTGGGTTCAGTTTCCGGCCAAGCTCATTTCCGCTCACTCTCCCACGCGCTCACGACTCTCAGCGGGCAGTGCAGTGGGTGGCCGAAAAGACACCGGAAGTAGGAAATTGGGTTACAAAATGCATTTCGTGCGCGCCAACATTTCCGTAACGGCCACCGCTAACAGAGCCGCAACATCGGGCAAGGACATTTCGGGGCCGGAAAAACTCAAACTGCAGAGCAACAGCAGCAGCTACAGAACACACGCATTTCCCACATGTTTTCCCCGAACACAACACACACACACGATGAGCTGCAAGCTTGGAACTGGTTGTGCCGCCGGTTCTTGTCTCCGCTAAGGCGCGAGTGCATTTTCAAACTGCAGCAGCAGCTCGGCCTTAACCCCCTATCCCGTCCTGTCCTTAACCCCCAACTGCCTCGGAGAGAGACCAATTTGAATGCCTCCAATCGAGTGCGCGGCGGTAACAAGCTGAAGAGCCTTTGAGTAGCGACTTTGGCAGTTGCAGGCAAATTGAATGCCGGCTAAATTGTGCGACAAATTGCTGGCCAAGGACTAAGGACGAGGCATTGAGAGGAGGTTTGTGGGCGGCGGCAAGTTCACCTTGCAACTTTATGCGCGCTTTGAGCAGCCAAACTTTGAGCAGCGACTAAAAGGGATAAGTTGGGGGAAATTAGTAAGAACATGAATAGGGATAAAGCCACTTTTGCAAATGGGAAAATAATCTTTTAGCTAAAAAAATATGCTCCACCTTATAACATAGTTGTTTACTATAATTTAAACTAAATTAGCGCCACTTCTGTATGGCTTTAAGCCATTAAAATGTATTATCTATAAATATCACTTCAGGAAATAATCCACAGGCGTATGGGAAACGAAGAAGGGTTGATTTTTCACTGCCGCCAGCTGCTTTTAGGTAATAATCCACCCACTGCCATCGCCCTGCCCTGCTTACCCTCAGCAAACCCTTTAAGTAGTTTTGTGTAATTTAAATATAAATACCGATTTAATTAGCCCGGCTGCTGCGAGACTCACTCTGGCTCCGAGACCTTTGATCTCCGGCAAATGTGTAAATATTTGACATTAATTACAAGTTGAATGCAGCCCTCGTCGCCTGTCTTCGGTTAACCCGTTGGGGCGCCGCGCACAGACGCAGGCAATAACTGGAAAATTTATTTAATATTCACTTGTGAGGCTCGCGAGCCCACGCTCCGCCACTCCGCCGCTCCGGCAAACGGTGGCAAATTACTTAAGTGCTTATTTGTCAACTCCGACGTGGGCGGCCGACTTGGCACATTCCCCATACATTTTATACACATATATATTATGCATATAGAGGCAGTGGCAACTCATTAATAGCTACTCCAGACGCCGGATGATCAGGCAGCCCTTAACCCATCGCAGCCCCATTGAGGCCTCAATTATTCAGGCGGCACGCGATGCCGGAAACGCCAGACGAAAGATGGCCGCCAGCAAAATGGCGTTTCTTACTCCTAACGGTAACCGCCTGGGAAATTACTTGCGCTCGTGAGTGCTAGTGCGAGTGTATGTGTGTATGGCTTAGTAAACGGATCAAGTGCGTGGCTTGCAGATAGCTTGAAAGTCACCGAAAACTTTGTCACACTGGCCACAGATGGATGTGCACAGGGAGAAATTGGGTTTATGATAAAATCTGTATTATAAAGAAAGAAATTTCAATAGGTAACTGTAGAAAATATTCGAAATAAACCACATATTTAATAAGCAATATGAGTTTTCTGCTTAAAGTTACTATCTATTTATTTCAGTACACCAAACATCAACAGCAAACTAACAACATCCCAGTTGCACTTGCGAAATGATTTCCCAAGTAATGGAATTTCTATATGCACAGCTCGGGGCAACTCTCCAGTAAACAAACAGAATAGAGTTAACCTGGAAACTTTCACTTGGCAGTCGTCATCGTCATCATCGCACACTTTGCATGTAAATCCCGAATGCATGAGACCGTACATTTATATCCTTAGTTGTTGGCACTAAACTCTCAATGGCATAATACATTCATTTGGGCCACCGACGCACAGACGCAGCAGGAACTTTAATTGTAAATAATTATTCGGGCTACGAGTAGGGGCACTCAACAATGCAGAGTTAAGGGATTGCGTCCACCGTCCCCTGGCCATGTGTTAGTAATGATGAGTAATGCGGCAGTAAATATTTGTTAATTAAATTAGCATTGCCTGGCTACTGGATGGCTTGTGTGAAATGTATAACCAAAACTCTCAGATGTCACCATGCGCTTATTAATAAATTCCTTGGCTTAAGGTGTATTGGCGCCTTATTTGTATTTAAACAATATGGTTTAGTTTATACTGGCAAAGGTGTTGTTAATAACAGAGTTGTTCTCTTTATTATTGATATAGCGACAATGATATGGGCTGCTTCTTGATCCACTTATTTAGGACGCACCATTATATTGACAGTCTTGTAGCTATAAGACGCGCCTTTCCAGTCGGCCCAGACTATTCCGGAGCCATAGAGATCGGGATCCGTATAATTACCGCCCAGATAGGCACCATTCAGATTGCTGCAGATAATTAAGGCATGAGTTATGGAATTTTGATCACCAAAATCGTTAACAATTCTCACCTGTTCAGGCAATCCCTGTACCACCAAGCTCCCTTAAATTTAGCTGCGCAATTAACGTAGCTTTGGTCATTATCCTTGTCGAAGGTGCTGAAGGACTGGCCCACATGGTATCTCAAGCTGTCGCCAGCAGTTCCACTGTAGTTGCCCAGCTGCGTGAGGGAGTAGTTACTGTACACGTTGCCCACACTAAACAGATCGTATTGGGCATATCGAGAGGTGTTATTGAAGTCCACCAGCTGGATGAAGAGCTCCTGGGGCTCCAAAGCCGTGATCTTGTTCAGCTTGTCCAGTCCAAGGAAGAAGTTACCCTTCAGATCACCGAAGCCCGTCTGATACGAGGTCCAGTTGCGGAAGAAGTTCTCCTCGACACTGACCCTGCGTTGGATGACCAGCCAACCCTTTCCATTGATCCCTTCCTCGCAGTACACCTCAAAGGTGTCCTTGCCCACCTTGATCTTCTGGACACCACTCTTTTTGGGGCTCAAGGCCTTGCAGGAGGAATAGGTCTTGGCAAAAGGTTCCGCTTCTACAATCTCAGCGCTGGCCACGGAAACAAGGGCCAGCGAGAACGCGGCTAGAACGAAGCAAATGGCTTTCATTTTGATAGCGAGAAGTGAAACTAAAATCTGTGGGCGCTGAATTGGCCTTTTTATATCAATTTCTTTAGTTCTTATCGTTGACCATTACCGAAATTACTTAGAAATATAAATTGATAGAGGCTATCTCGTCTGAAAGGTTAGTTGAATCCGACTGAAACTTATTTGGCCATCGATAAGAGCCACAATCAGAGAAGTGACTCACAGACAAGGGGAACTTTTACTTGAAATAATATACTTATTACAATCAAATTTGAAATTTATACAGGCCTTGAGGGTATTTTTAAAATGCGATAACTTTTTACTAGACTTTAGAGTTAGATGTATCATCGATGGACTGATATTCTCTGCTTAAAAAAACCCCATTTTCCAATCACAATATTTTCTCCTCGTTTCCGCAATCTACAATCGCATCTGCTACATGGACAAACACTCATCCGGAGTTATGGCGGGCAATATTTTCGCGGTGCAGCGATGCCAATATCGTGTTAGCCATTCTAATTAGCCCTGCCCATGCCCATGCTCGTGGGCCGTGGGTCGGGCCAAGGCGGCTTCGCTGCTGGAAATTTACATTGGCCATTCACCGCTCAACATGCACTAAATCCAGCTGAGGGCCCCTTGGCCAGAAACCACATTTACCACCGCCGCTGCCAAGTCACATAAACTTGCAGCAGCAACAGCAGCGGCAGCGGCAGCCTTCTGAGCCGGCAAATGCATGGGCCGCGCTTTGTGGCCAATTAATTTACGCGCACTTTCCGAGCACTCTGGCTTAGAGAGATGCGGCCCGATGCCTATCGCCGGATTAAACCTATATCATTTCATTATTATTTGGCCATGTGGCGCTCCCTTTGGTGGGCCCGTCAACATTTCTAAATTAATTAGCCGACGAGGACGAGGGGCTTGGCTGCAGCTCCCGGGTTGAGCAACCATTTTTGACAGCCTCAGCTGAAAAGCAAAGCAAAAAAACGGCAAAACAGGCGAAAAATTTAAGAAAAAAGCCATGAAAATTAGGAATAGTGGAAGTTTAAAATACCCTGACAGTGTAAAAGTGATATATCTTAAAGGACTAGGAGTAATAGATCAGTTAAAAGATATAGTTTGGGTTAATTTTATGGCAAACAATAAAGTTTTCTTTGCTAATTATTTCAACCCAAAAGGTAACACATTCAATTTTAATGCTGATGTTAGTATAGCTCCAAAATCATAATACTCTCCAATAGGGTACACAAATTGAAGAGAAAAAAAGAAAAGCCAGTTAACATTTCGGTAGTCCCTCTTATCTTTGGGCCACACGACGATGCCAGGCGACGTCGACGACAACGACAATTTATTGACAAGACAATGGCGCTCAGCGTATGTAATTAATCTCGACATAATCTGAGTAGATAATTTTTGCGGCTCGTTGTTGTTTTGTTTGTTTGTTTGCCGTTGCTGGTTGCAGATGCTTTTTGTGCCTGTGCGGCGGTCTATTTTGGTGTGTTGTGCGGTGTGGTGTGGTGTGTGCTTGTCTCCTCGTCCTCGCCCGCTTTGGTCATGTTCTTTTATAGCCGGCTTGGCCCGCCTCGGCATGGATCGGGCCCTGTCCTGTCAGCTTTATGAAGTGCACAGGCACGGGCACAGTCTTGCAGCCCATAGAGGGCTAGGGACAGCGATATTGTCCTTTTACGGCCTTCCCCCGCACCGCATCGCTGGCCTTTTTCAATTAAGTAAAATGCAACAAATGCAATCTGCAGAGAAATGCATTCCATAAACTTTCCGGAATGCCCCCTTGCCCTCTCTCTCTCTTTCACGCTGGTCGACGGCCCCGGACTTTGGCCTACTTTCCGCGGGGTGCAAAAAGAGTGCTCCTACCATTAATTCTGCGGAAAAGTTTCAGGCATTCAGGACGAGGAGGAATTTTTCCACGGCACCGGCGAGGCGAGGAATAGTTGCACCTAATGGGTATGTAATGGCAGCTCTATTTCAAAATATATCTGTGTGAAGACACACAAAAAGAAATGTACACAATTATGTGTAAAGCCTTTTCTGGGCTAGATTTATGGTTTGAGCACCAGACTTGGAACTAAAAGAAATTATATCAAAGACCATCGTAATTATTTGTGATTCCTTTAAACAAAAATTCCCTAAAATCTATATTCTTTCTTTTAAAGCTTCCTTTTTTAAGAGTCCCCAGGTACTAACCGTTCGATTGACCCCATTTCTCTTCTTAATGGATTATGCGTACGTGGAAAAGTTGTATTCGTATCAAAAATTCAGTATGAATTGTTGTAATGCAGGCAGTAGGGCAGCGCCCTGCCCGCCCCGCCAACATGCAACAATGAATTTACATTAATGATGAGGCAGGCAGCCTTACATCCCGCTGTTATCCCTGCTTTGGCGCATCCTCGGCCAAAGTTTCGCTGAATCGTAAAGCAAATGAAACTATGCGAGGCAGAGTTTTATTTTTTAGTATTTTCTTTTTTTTTGGCCCCACAGCCTGTATGCAATTTTAATGCTCTTGGCAAAGGCTGCCATCTAACCTGCTCCTTCCAGCATCCGAGCATCCCAGCATCCCAGTGCCCCATTATCCGCCCCCGAACCCACACCCGATGGCCTGTGCATCCTCATCTCCCTGGGTGGCCATTTGGTCGGCGTTGGAAAATTTTACGGCCATGCATATTTCAGATAGCGAAAGTGAAATTATGAGCCGCAATTTTTGGCAAACTTTTAAAGTGGATGGATTTCAGGCGCAGCCACTCCCCTCCACTCCCCCAACACACCCACTGGTGCAGCACATCCACAGCCACCTAATGTCAGGCGACGGCGTTTTTGACAACTCATCAGAAAGTTGATTGCCATTTAAGAGCCGGGGTGAAAATGCCTGAAAACGATATTAGAAGACGATGGCTGGCACTCGTAAAGTTGTTAAATTAAGTGGAAGTGGCACAGCGAAATGTCAACTGCTGTGACGACTTTTCATGGTTTATGTTCGGCTTGTGGCCCGACATCTGGGAGCGGCGCACCGATAATCTGGTCTGATGGAGTACCGCTTGCTGAATAGTGGGAAGCTTTTATCAGAGTTAAGCAGCAGATTCTAAGCATTCTTCGTTTTATTCTTTTGTTAGGAACTTGTAGCCCAACATAAACAGTTATGGGGTAATCGTTTCATATATGTAAATGGAAACCATAACAAACTAAAAATAGTACAAAACTACTACAATACAAACTTAGCATCTAATAAAATAAAAATATACAAATGATTGAAAATGAGAATACAATAAATTAAAAGAATAATTTAACTTCCCTAAACATTAATACAGGAAAATATAATTAACTTAGAAAATTATTTTAAACTAAATAAAAGAGAAAAAAAAAGTACTTCACTTTACCCCAGATGGGACTCGAACCCACAATCCCCGGCTTAGGAGGCCGATGCCTTATCCATTAGGCCACTGGGGCATGTGTTGGTAGACGACCAAATGCTATTTTAAGCGCGGGGTGGCAATGCATGAGTCAGTGCCGATAAATGTTCAGACAAGCAAACAGAATGTGTTTTTTCAATGAAGTATTTACGGGGTGGAAATATTTGCTGTTGTTTTTGTAAATAATCGGGTGCCGGTTAGGGAAGATAACAACAAGCAACAGGATAGATAAATTTGCATGTTCATATGTATATTATATGTATGTAAATAAAACATGATTTTTTCCAACATAAAATGAATAAAAACTTTTATTTGTATTATTTATTTCCATTACATGTAACTAAGGCTCTGGGCAATACTACATTATTCTAATACAAACGTTCAATAGCCATCACAAGTGTTTTTTGGTAAACATAACCCCAATATTTGCGCAGATATTTACATACATATCTATGTTTGCATACCAAGTTTCAGAACAACAAGAGAGAACTTATTTAAACAGTTGTTTTCGCCACAAAACGAAATGGAATACAGTTATTTATAGTGGTTCTTAGTTGTTCTTGTTTTACTTGTTATAAGTCGTCTACAGTTCATAAAGGCATTCTGGCAGCGCGTAACTCAAGCCCCAGTGGCCTAATGGATAAGGCATCGGCCTCCTAAGCCGGGGATTGTGGGTTCGAGTCCCATCTGGGGTAAAGTAAAGTACTTTTTTTTTTCTAATCTCTTTTTTTTGTATTATTTATAACTACAAACATATTTATTCAAATATACAAGCCGAAAAGTATTTTTAAACAAAAATTCACGAATATAACAAAATCTTATCAGTATGAATTTTATTTTACACATATACCATTTGGTTATTTATAAATATATTTATGTGTTTAAACTTTTTAAAAATAATATACAGTCCCTTTCGTTTCGAAGAATTCTAAAAAAAATGTCTAAAAAATTCTACAAAGAAGGAATTAAATATTTAAAAATGTTATTTAATACTTCTTTTAAAACAACATATTCTAAAATAGCTTTCATTCGGCTATAACAGCAAGGAAATAAATTCAGTAGCCACCTTTGGGCTCATTTATTATATGCAAATTGGCGTTACGTAATCTGGAACGGAGGCAACAAGCTGCGGCCTGTAGTGTCTGCCGCCTGTCTCCTCGACTATTGTATTGATTTTTTGTATCATACATATTTATTTATATTTTTTTCGGTCTTTCGGTAAACGGCACTTTTATTTATTACAACTACATTAAACCGAAAATGTCACGACATTAATTTCGCAAATGCGATTAATAAACGTCAGCATAATGTCATTGTTTGCAAATGCCCCAAAGAGCCGCTCGCTATTGCTGTAGTTAATGTTGTTGTTGTTCGGGGCAGCCATTATGTACAAGCCATTGACCACAAGTCAAGTAAAGTCAAGTCTGAGCCAAAAGCCAACACCAGACAGACAAACGGACAGACAGTCGGACAGACGGCGAGGCAGATAGACAGCGAGCAATGCAAACATGATTTACACCGATCCATTGTCCCTGCTTAAATTGTCAGGGCGAAAAGTCAGCTGTGACTAGGAAAAAGCCCAGCAAGGTGTCTGAACTGTGCGTAGTCC